TTTTTTTTTTTTTTTTTTTTTTTTTTCTTCTAATAGCGGTATCTAAAGCTTGTACTACAAGGCTTAGCTGGACTCTTTGGAAAACTGCTGGTCTGTAAGGTTGAAAGCCAGGTATCATAAGGCTGCACAGTTAAAGGGAATTGCAGTCTTTCACATGAATGAAAAATTGTATGGCTTTGCCCTAAACCAGTAATACTTCTTGGGGCAGAGGCAGGGAGTGGGCTAAGTTTAAAAAAACAACTTTTTAAAACAAATCTGCTGACTAAACTTAAATTAATTTTAAATCCCAGCCCAACTGAGCACTCAGTGTCTCTTTTGCATACAGCAACAGAGTAATACTGATGCCTCTGTCTTCCTCTATAACTAATCCTCTCTGAAGGCTTGGCCATATGTGACATTTATGCGGATATGAGCAGTTGTTAATGTTGATGGATACAGTTCAAGATGGGCAGTAATTTTCCCTTGCTGTGGTGGTGTAGGTGTTCCTGGAGGGAGATGACACAGGCAGGTGTCACTGACATCAAGGATCTTGCACAGAGCTGGAAGTTAAGGGAAGGTGTCAGTTCCATAAGTCATCACTGGGGTTTCTTGGACTTGTGGCTGAGTATGAGCATATAAATGATTTAATTTTTTTTTTCCAGTTCACTGGACAAACTGGAGGAGGGGAAAAATCAGTTTTGGTGTTTCAAGGCGTTTTTTTTAAATGAATGACTTGTGTAAAAGTACATAATTTTTGGTCTAAAAGTACATAATTTTTGGTGAAAATACTTCAGAAGACTTATGGGTAACTCTGGACAACCTGAATATACCTTTGACAACAAATAAAATGTTTGACTGAAAAAGGAAAAGGGAAAAAAAAAAACCAACACCCACCCCCCACCCCCCACCCCGGTCTGTTTGTGACCTGTTATCTTTATGCTGTCAGTCCCACTGAAGGCTTTACTTTCCCTCCATTTGCAGAAAGGTGGCTTTGCAGATGTCTTCACCCATCTCCTTCCCTGGGTTTCCCCTCCTCCCCAGCCAGGCTCCCGGAGAGAAGAGACAGGGTTGCCTCTGCAGGAATGTGGGAAATAGCATAAGTAACTATAATAATACTGGAAAACTGGGAAGATTTGGCATGTGAAATTAAATCTTCTTTTCATCCACAGCCTTGTATGTTATTAACTGGCATTAATTTTGCCTGTGTGAGTAACGCATCTGTCTGCCAGTCCCTCTGTCTCTGTTCACCCTCCCTCCTCCCCCTGCCACCTAATTGATGCTTCAGCTCTGTTCTGCTGGTCATCTCAGGCATCTTTCTGCTTTGTTATTTCTGCCCAGCTTTTGGGCTATGCTGTATGATTCGGAGTCCTCTGTGGGCTTGCTTCTTTGGTGGGTTTCTTTGCTCCTTGATCTCCAGGAGAGCCTCTTCCGGTGGCTTTGTGGGTGGTGGGGGAGCATGCGTGGGCTGCCAGGGGAATGTCTCTTTCCATGAAGAATGAAATCATTTGGTGAACTTGAGCAAAATGCAAAACCTCCGAGCTGGTCTGTGCTCTCCCACCATTGCTTTGCCATGTTGCTGGCCTTACCTTCTACTCCTTGTGCTCCTTCCCTCCTTTCTCCGGTGTAGCGCTGAGAGATGAATGTTGCTGTGGATAAAGCACCGATGGCAGCGCCAAGTGGTGCAGAGGCAATCGAGCATTGCTTTTCCAGGTCAGATGGGAGATTTGACATCTGCGTGGCCAGTGGCTGGAGTCAGGAAATCTCATTAAAAGAAGGAGAGTTATCAAGTTCTGAGGATTTAGAAGAGGGTTTTTTGTTGTTTTAACTTGGTGTTATTGCTCTAAGCGGAAATCTGTGTGGTTGAATATACTGGAGGGTGTTGTGTGTGTTGGAAGGACTGGCAGCCAGCTCCCTTGCTGTACAGAGATCAGGATGAAGGAGGTGCCGTGTGGCAGCTCCTGGCTCTTTCTGCTGCCCCAGGAGGCAGCTCAGCCCATGATGGGCAGAATCCATGCCCGGCTCAGGTTGGGCTTAGCTGAAGGTGCAAAGCAGCTGAGCCCTCAGGTGCTCAATGCCCTGTGCTTGGCTCCTGACTCTGCCCAGGTCTCTTCTGCTGTGCCACAGCAATAATCCATTGTTGCAGTAGGACAGGCGCTGCTGGTCCTGCCGTGCCTCTGTGTTTGCTCTCTGCCACAGAGCCCTCCTGAAGCAGTAAGCTGTTTTCTGTATGCCACAGCACTTAGACCTTGTTAATCACTCTGGGCTTAAATAATTATCTACTGCAACTGTTGTATAGAAGAAGGAAAAAAAAAAAACCCCAACCCAAAACCCATGCCTTGCAATTTTGGTTGTACCTTTTTCCCCCTATTTTCTCTGGGCCATGTAAATTTTGAAGTCTTGAAGTTTTATAACCTGCCCCAGTCATAATTCTCAAAGCTGCATGTTCTTGGTATTCTGCCTGCACCTGGTGCTGCAGAGAGTGAGGAGTTAACTTAGCTGAGGGCACTGATTTCCTCCCTCTCCCTTCAATTGCCTTGCTTATCTGCAAAGTGTCAGGGCTCTGACTCTTTCTCTCTTTCTTTCTCTCTTTCTCTCCCTTTCTCTTTCTCTCTGTCTCTTGCAGTATGCAGTACTGGGCCAGGAGGCTGGAGCAGGAGATTGATGGAGTAATGAGGATATTTGGTGGAGTCCAGCAGCTCAGAGGGGTAAGCTGTCTGTCTTTTACCTGTGCTGCCTTCCTTGTGGCAATGAATGTTTTCATCTGCAGAAATCACCTGTGTGAACACTTGCAATAAGTCACCCTGTTGCCTCACTCCATGTGCAGGGTCATGGCTGGCTGTGCTTCTGGTTGCTGGTCAATCTGATGCATTTATCGAGTGTGTGGGAGTGAGTGTGTTTTGTATCTGTCTGTTTCTTGGGCTGCATGTCACTGCTATCTGAGCATGTACCTGGGTTGTTTTTTTCTTTTTCTATATGATACACTGAATGCATCTTAAATCCAACTAACCTTTCCTCCAGGAACTGAAGGTAGTTTAATTTGTGTTTTAATTTTAAACTTCTGTTGATGAAGCAGGAAAAGTTCAAAGGATAATTTGACTAGCCGTTGGAAGCTCTGTGTTTTTTAAATACACGTTGCAGGTAAAACTAATTCTTGTTTGGCTTCTGTTTCCAAGTGTGTAAAACAAAACCCTGTTACTGATGCTGGTGTCTGCCTCCTGCTCCCTGACTTAGCAGCAGGGCCTGGGAATGGGAGGCTGTGGGAGCCAGACCTCCTCTTTTCCTGGCAGCAGTGCTCTGGGCTGGGTTAGGGCAGTTACAGGACAACTCTGTCATGGTTTACTACGTTTGTGGATCAAAGGGTCTTTAAGACTCTCCCTGTTTCCTCTTCCCAGTAAGATCCTGTTTCTCCTTCCCAACACTGTGGTGCTGACTAGCTGTTTTGAAATTGGATGACTTGAAATTAGGGTTATGGTCTTGATCTATGGAAAACATGCTTCTCTAGCACAATAAATAGGTTGCCCCAGAAGAAAGCATGGGGTGTAATTGTGGCTTCTGATGACAGTGGCATGTTTTTCTCAGGTGCCAATGGGCCTCTTACTGTCTGTCTTACGCTAGTAGCTGTAACTGGCTTCAACAGAACTGTTCATGCGGTATCACGTGTTTTATACTGTTGGTTGTAACCCATTGTCTAAACACAGACACTATTTTCTTTTAAATGCATTTTAAAATGAGTTTAACTGTAGGCTTTCAAAACTCTTCATAGTTCATCCGTTCGTTTGCGTTCATCTCTGAGCTCTAGAATGGTGTATCTGGGAGTTGCTTGCATTCATTTCAACTGAACTTCAGCTGGACTGATATAAACTTCATGTGCAACATGAAAAGCTTATACACTGCTTTGGTTTTAACAAATATTTTTGATTGTATTGGTGCATTTGTGCAATGCAGTTTTGCATGTTGGCAGGGTCTTAGGATCTGAGGCAGGGATACAAGTTTTCCAGACAATACATAGGTACAACAGCCAGCATACTCTTCAGCAGAGCACGTTTTCAAAAAAAAAAAAGACTGCTACTACATTTTGTACGTCCTCTCTTACAATTTATTCTTATTAGCTTTGATTTTGCTCCTTTGCATTTTAAATAGGTATATCGTGTAATTTTTTTAATGCCATAATTAAATAGAAATTACACCTCCAATTTGCCAGCACTTGACTCCTATTGGCCAGTCAGTCAATTACAGGTAAGAGAGCTTCCCACTTCTTCTGTTTAATTCTTCTGATAGAACATAGTGCATCACTTTAATGAACTAATACCAGATAAACTGACTACAGAGGGATTGAAGGGGGTTTTTGAAATCTGTTTTGGAACCTTCTTGTGAAGGGAGGGAGCTGCACACAATTACTGTATCTATCTGGTGAATGCATAAACCACCTGAAGCCAATAAACGAGCTACTGAAAATTTCAACATGCAGCCATTAAAACACCAGAAAGGACTAGTAGAGGCTGTCTGTGGATCTCCAGGGGGAACTTGGGATGTGGAGTTCTGGTTTGATTCATGAATGCAGTATCAAGTGAATGGCACTTAAAGACCACATCACTTGCTAGTGCAAACTAGCATAGCTTCACTGACGTGGAATAGCACAGAGTGCTCCATCCTGAAGAACTCAGAGCTGTCCTCACAGGGAGTGCTCTTACCCACCATTTGCACACGGGTTCATCTGGGTTGCAGTATGGGAGCTGTTAATGTCATAAAGTGGTACTGTAACCCACTCTGAGACATGGATAAAAAAAAAAATAAAATCCATGTTCTGCTGCAATCACACTCAAAATTTAGAGGGTGCCAACTAATTCTTAAGGTTGGGACCGGTCCTCACTTCCCTTCTTGTAAAGGGCACTACCTGGGCATGACTTGGACTTTGTAGCTCAACTTGCTCCATTGTCGTGCTGCCTTGCAGCCAGGATGTAGGTGTTGGAGTCTGGTACCACCCCGCAGAGCTGCGGAGCACCCTGACACTGAGCAAGCAGGCTCAGGGGAGAAGGGAAAGCCACTGCCCAAGGAGCAGTGGGACCTGAAACGCCTGTCTAGCTGGAAATGAATCCCACCCATCAGGATTTTTCAGGAAGGTTTATTATTAAGCAAGAATAGGCCCAAGTGGGGCAGGAAGACTAAAGAAAAATGGGGCAAGGAGAGCCTGTTTTTTGCCAAAACTTCCTGATGTCCTTTGGGGTTGCCATGTTAGCCTGGGACATGCAAAGTGTCTGTAGAGGGGGGCTTTGTGTACATAGCACATAGGGAGTGACACTAGAAGTAGGGGAAAAAGCATTCCAGTGTCACCAAAGACAAAATTGGTCCTTCTGAACTCGGTGGGGTCTGCGGTGCAGGTGGTGGGTCTCACTGCCAGCTCTTATGGGTCTAAGAAGCCTGTAAACACTGGGGGTGGTGCCATGCCAGAAATGGATCCTCCCTTTCCAGTTCAGGCCTGACTGTCAAAGTGACAGACCAGTAAATAATAATAAAAATACCCTCCTCTGAGGTTTGCCAGGTTTACTTACGAATATTTTTTTTCTTGGGTTGCTGTGAAAGGATGTGGACCTGTCCTTTGGTTATTGTCTGAAATCGTATAACTGTTGTGGCATATGAGGCATGAAATTTATTGTCAGAAATATGGTGGCCAGGAACATAACAGTGCTGAATATTTTATCTTGCTGGAATGCTGCCTACCCAAGAATGATTTTTATTTTAACTCTTCAGTCATTTCCTAGAGTTGGTGTGCTAAATGTCAAATGCCCCTGCTGCCCTCATCTCCTGCAGGGTGAACAGGCAGTCACCTTGTATGCTTCCCCTGGGGAGATTATCCAAGCTTACACCATTTAGATGCTTCTTTGCTCAAGTGGACAGAGGAGGGTGAGAAGCTCTGGGATGCAAAGGGGTGTCATGCCAGGGGCTTGCCTTTCAGTGGTGAGACATCACCTCATTTCTCTCCTGAAGTCCAGACCTTGAAGACACTGAAGTGCAAATGGCCCCATTGGTCAGACTGGCTGTGGTAGGGCTACGCATATGTCTGAATGCTGGGGGCTTGGGGCTGTAGGGAGGACAGTGGCCTTGCTGAGTTGATTCTCTGCCTGGTAAAGTCAGCGTTCAGCCCTCTGGGTGCTTTGTGGTGCAGCATTGTGCTGGCTAGCCGGTTGTTCCCGGCATGCCTCGAAACAAATCCCAGCACTTGGAGATTAGGGCACGTTGCTTTGCCGCTCTGTCCTTGCCTCCCTTGTGGCTCACCAAAATAATTGAGAGCACAAGTCATTGCTAATTTAAATCTGACTGGCACAATGATGTGTGGAACCCTAAAATTCTAGCTGAGTAGGTTAAAATCCTTTAAATCATTTTTTTTTTTCTAGAATGAGGAATATTACACTAACAATCCAACTCCCTGACTTCTATTCTTCTTCCATTAGTGACTTTCTTTGTGGCTACGGTGGACTCTTCATCACTTTGCAGGACAAGAAAATAGTTTGGTTTTGACACTTCCTGCTACACTACGCTAAATTTCTGTTTCTTCCAGTGTTTTGGCACAAGTAAAAGTTGTTGACTTTAGTCAAAAGTGGATAAATTTGTTGTTTCCAGCCTGGATGATTTGTTAATGTTGCAAAACCTGCTCCAGGGTAGACTCTGTGGTTGAGAGGTATTTCCCGTGCTGGTGCAGCCCTGTCCCATCCTGCCAATGTCCTGCTGTGCCGGTCCTTGCAGCAGGGCTGTGCATGCCGCTGGGTTTTGTGCCTCGCTGAGCAGCTCCCCTGGATGTTGTGTTAAACCTTCCTTGCTGGATAGCCAGGCTGAGGTTGCGAGTCTCCTCTGGCTTCTTAGCTAAATTATATTTGATCCTGTGTCTCTTGAGGTGAGCAGCTAGCTGGTCAGACCATCTCCTCCTCCTCTTCTAGTACCTTTTATCTGTGGCTGCCTGTTAATGGGCTTGTTTCTTTGCTAACAATTACTGAGGAAGCCAAAGCCTTCAGAATGAGATGAGGAAAGACTGAGTGCGGAGCCCCCTTTTCTGTGCTGTCTTCCTTTCTGCTGTTCTCCCTGGCTGTCCTTCCTGATGACTGCTTCAGTAGCTGGGGTGAGCACTCACCTGGAGGCATTGCACAGTGGCGATGCAGCCTTTCCCTGTTTGGCAGACAGGCTTTAGCAGGGGCAGGGTGAGTAGTAGAGCTGGGCCTGTGCTGTGGCTGCTCTCCTCTGGGTGGTTTGGATGAACAGAGCTTCAAGTCTGGCAAGCTGGTTTTGCACCCTCCTGCTCTTTCCTCTGGGCTCTTGAGGGAAGTCAAGAGATAATGTCTGGATCTACCTCACTGGCTTATGACTGGGAGATATGGATGTTGCTGGCCTTGGTGGTGAGGAAACACCCAGTCAATAAAGGTCCAGATGGCCCCAAACCTGAGCCCAGGGTGGGTCATGGTGAGCAGCTTGCTGGCAGAGCTGGGCAGGCAGCGAGCACGTGTGACTGCACGGAAAGGAGGATCTGCCCAGGGAGCGGGAGCCCTTCGGGATGCAGCCTGCTACCCACAAGGGCTTTGCTGAATGTAGCAAAGCAGAAGTGGCTGGACTTTGTCCTTGTAATCAACATCTTATTTTACTTCAGTGGATTTTTCATTTCTCTGTCTTTTATTCTTCCTTGTTATCTTGTGCTGTTTTCTCAGCTTTGTTTTGCCAG